ACCGGCAACGGGATTGCAAACCTCGGCGTTGCTCCCGCGCCTCGCTCAGCCAGTGAGCGGGAACCGGTCTGTATATGGGATCCGAACCCTCGGGCGGGAGCGCCACCGCGCTTCCCAAGTGGCGCACTATCCAGTGTGCCACCGGGCCGGCCCCACAGGCGTACTTTTGAGGGTTTTAAAAGGAGAGCACGTGAGAGTCTCTCTCTGCTCCACCATTTTGTAATGTGATACCCTGCCATCACTGAAGTCATCACCAAAGAAAGCCTTCACCAGATGTTTTCCCTGAACTTTGAACTTCCAGCCCCTGAAACTATAAGCAATAAATTTTATTTTCTTGTAAATCATCCAATTCCAGATATTGTGTTATAAGTAACAGAAACAGACATACAGAAAATTGGTACTAGAAACGGGGTGTTGCTTATAACAAATACTTGAAAATGTGGAAATGGCTTTGGAAGTGGGTGCTGAGGAGAGGTCAGAAGAATTTGGAGAAAGTGGCTAGAAAAAGCCTAGATGCTGGTAAAAGTTTAGAAGACAAGAAAAGCAAGGACAGTTTGGAATGTTTTAAAGACAAGAAAAGCAAGGACAGTTTGGAATGTTTTAAAGACTGGTTAAATGTTGGTTACCAGAATGCTTATGGAAATGTGTACCATATAGGCCGTTCTAAGGAAGTCTCAGAAATATAAGAGTTTATTGGAAACTGGGGCAAAGATCACCCTTGCTATGAATTGTCAAGGAACTCGGCTGCATTCTGTTCATGCCCAAAAGCTTTATGTGATGTGGAAGTTCCAGGTGCTGACCCAGGGTATTTGGTGGAAGAAATTTCTAAGCAGCAAAGCATTGAGGAAGCTGTATGGCTACTTGTAACAGCCTACACAGAGTTATGGCAGCAAAGGCATGACATAAAGCCAGAATTTAAAAGGGAAGCAGAGCATAAAGATTTGGAAAATTTGCAGCCCAGCCATGTGGTAGAGAAGCAGAGTGCGCTTTCAGGAGAAAAATGCAGTGGTGCTTAAATATTAGTACAAAAGAAAGGGATAATCGTAAGAAGCAGGGAAAGTCCCTGACGGCATTGCAGAAACCTCTGGGGCCAGCCCTTCCATTACAGGCCCAGAGACCTAGGAAGACAGAATGGCCTTGGGGAACTGGCCTGAGGCACCTTCCATTGGCTTGCCGCTCAGGGCTACCTCAACAGTGGTTCTCAACCAGAGTGGATTAGTTGGGATTAATCAGGATTCTCCAGAGAAGAAGAAACAACAGGACAGACACACGCACGCGCGCACACACACACACACACACACACGCACGCACGCACGCACGCGTGCTCACTTCAAAAACTTCATGTGGAAAAATATAATATGAATCTTTGCATGAACTGGAAGTGCCCTTGTATATAGAGAGATTTATTATAAGGAATTGGCTAGTGCAATGATGAAGGCTGAGAAGTCCGGAGATCTGTAGTTGGTAAGTTGGAGAGCCAGGGGAGCCAGTGATGTACTTCCAGTCTGAGTCCCAAGGCCTGAGAACCAGGAGAGCTAGTGGTATAAGTTCCAGCACGAAAGGTAGCATGCTTGAGACCCAAGAAGAGCATATGTTTCAGTTTGAGTTCAAAGGCAGGAAGAGACCGATACCAGTTCAAGCAGTCAGGAGAAGGTACACTTTTTGTTCTATTGAGGACTTCAACTGATTAATGAGGGCCACTCACATCAGGGAGGGTAGTCTGATTTACTCAAGTCTACTGATTCAAATGTTAACCTCATCCCAAAACACCCTGACAGACACCCAGAATAATGTTTGACTAAATATCTGGGCACTCTATGTTCCAGTCAAGTTGAAACATAAAATTAGCCATCACACAAGGCTATCCCTCTCATCATAGGGACATTGGCAGTGTGAAGATGTTTTTGGTTGTCACATCTGGGTGAGGATGGGGGAGGTTGCTACTGGCATCTACTGGGTAGAGGCCAGGGACGCCACTGACATCTCATAATGCAGTGGACATCCTCCCCACAACAAAGACTCACCCAACTCAAAACGTCAGTTGAGGGCCGAGCCCGTGGCGCACTCGGGAGAGTGCGGCGCTGGGAGCGCATCAGCGCTCCCGCCGCGGGTTCGGATCCTATATAGGGATGACCGGTGCACTCACAGCGCTCACTGGCTGAGTGTCAGGCGGCCAGTCTCAAAAAGGACAAAAAAAAAAAAAAAAA